TTTTCGTCGTGTTTTTTTCAAAATACTAACATTAAATTACCGTGAAATAGTAAGTTCATCTGACTTGCTGCCCTCACCTCATGGCAACAATAGTTATGTTTAGTTCAACCACATTTATCATGCTCATTACATAACAAAACTTAGGATCAAAACCGAAAGCCGACAAGATTCAAAGGCTGTCATTGACGCATAACGTCAATAACACAAAATATGCTCGGGCAGTGCTTATTGAGGAGAGGCCGACCAGAGAATAGCCTACGGCAAAATTTGACTAAATTTCTTTTATAATTAACTTTTCTACCGCGTATTTAACTAAATGCGTAACAAAAGTTGAGATTGTTGTGTAAACTATCTTAGAGTATTTTTACTTTACAATTGTTATAGACTATAATGCTTTTAACGTCTATAAGTAATCTATGCTATCAAAATATACAAACCACAACAATAAACATACACAATTTTACAATTCTTAATAAATAAATCAAAATATTTCTAAAAAGATTTTTGTGACTTTTTTCTGTGACTTTTTTCCTAGCAAAAACTGACTTTTTTTCTGTGTTCTTTTTTCCAGTGACTTTTTTCCGTTCACCGTTATCGAAACACCCTATGGCTACCCAGCTTACCAGTTTTCAACGCTCGATACTATCTCCTTAGTGTTAAAACACAAGAGGGTATCATCTCTGAAGTCTGTACCCTCAACATAGGCGGGTGTCTTACATGGCGCCAGGTCAGTGTGAGCAACTCTGACTTACTAATGACGTTTTCTTGTCGAGAAACAGATGAATTACAGTTCACAAGCTTCTGTAAACTCAGCACTATGTCCAGCCATCCTTACTTTCCCTAACCTGAATCAGGTACACATCAGAGCTGGGTGGACTCAGTGACGTACTACCAATATTCGAACTCGATCAGAGGCGTAGCGAGGGTGGGAGGGGGGACACATGTCCCCGGGCGCCGACCTTAGGGTTCGAATCCCACCGCTGCCTCCATGTTGCATTACTTACTAAATTGAAAGTTAGAGAGGGGGGGGGGGTGCGAATCAAAAGTTCGAGGGGGGGGGGGGTGCAAATCGAAAGTTTGTCCCTGGGCGCCGGGAAGGGTCGCTACGCTTCTGAACTCGAAACTTTCGGGTTAACAGTCTAGCTCTCTACTACTAGGCCACGACGTCCCGTAAACATTATCATAGACATAACGATGACCCAAATAATCCCTACATAGCAATAGGTCATATAAAAAAAACTCAGGCTCATTGAGTCAAATTTCAATTTTTATTCTTTTGTTTTGTGTTTTAAGTTAAAAATTATTGGTTAGAAACAGAAGGAAGGTAATAACCACACCTTAAAGCGCAAGTTGTAGAAATTGTATTCATTTGATACAATGGCGCCTACAACAAAACCGTCAAACAAACAAAAAAATACAACAATGACTAACACTAAATACTAAATAAACTCGAAGGAACATTTTTTTAGGTGCATGGACACCTTAACAATTGTGACGAATACACCTTACACACAAATCTATAACATAATGTAGCTTGACACTCGATATGACTCTACTAGTTTCTACGGAAAGTAGATCTGGATTCTAGATCTAAATAGAATTTGATGGTAAATGTATACTTTAACGATCATTTACCACAAGACTGAGACTGATACGAAATAAGAGCTAAATTTACATAATACATAGCCAAGGCACCTAACCGTGGTCTATTTATAGAATGTGTTTTGAATATTCATAGACCGGATGTGACTTGTGTCAAACATGTAAATCTAGTGAGAGAGATGGTAACATTTTCGAGTAAAAATAAATCACTTACTTTTGATTTAGATACTGAGCCCATGATGTAACGTCAGCAGGTAGGCCTACATACAGGTGGGAAGTGTTTGTTGATGATGTAAGGTTGTTGTTGTTGTTGTTGTTGTTTTAGTCCCACAAAGATGTAAACAAGACGTGCCAATCCGAACTGAGTGTTTCTGTGTTTATCATTCGTAATTTTCTGCTTTTTTGAAGGGGGCATCACTCTATTTTGTCAATACAAGGGAGATAAGGTAATTTTTTGGAAAACAATTGAATCTAATTCAATTTTTTTCAACACTAGGGTAATTATTCATTTCAATCGCTAGGACGATGATTGGATTGGTTAATTAATTGATTGGAAATGAAGTGTAAAATAAGACAGGGGCGTGTCAACGTTGACAGGGGGAGGATTGATTATCAGACTAATGTGTTTTGCTAATGCGTAATTAATTTTAATAGCGTCTGTGTTTACTATAATACTCGATATTTGTTTACGTGAAGTGCTTGAAGGTCATATGCATCTGAATTCAGTGGTTATATAGTTAGCTGAGAAATTTGCTTTCTAGCTCGAAAGTTCCCTACCAGGGTAGGGATAAAATAGGGGAAGGGATGGAGAATTATCTATCGTTATTTAGTTCAGTGTAGCGATTATTGTGGCATTACTCTTCAAAGGCGTGGGTTCGAATCCCACCGCTGCCCCCATGTTGCATTACTTAAATAGACACAGTTGTTTGAGTTCACTGTAGACCTTTATTCTTATATACACGAGCTCAGACTACATTTCCCGTGTTTGACTTGACCTTTCGTTAACTGACTAACAGGTACACATCAAGGAAGACACAGTGAACACTCAAGGGACGTAACCATGATATACATAATGTAAGGGACGTAACAATCACAAACAAGACGTAATGTAACACTTAGGTCCTTTATCATATCTTTTTACTACTCCTAATTAAAAAAAATAATCTTTTAATTTATTTTTACAAAATTGAATTTCTTAACACATTTTTTTTTAAATTATAAAAAACCCTCACCATTTTCGGGCTAAATCTAAGAAACATTAATTTTGTTAAAGAATATTTCGGTCAATCCTTTTTTTTTGAATGGTGTTATTAATCCACTTTGTCCGCGTTGCTACCAATCACTTTGTCTTTTTATTTTGGTGTCATAAAATTAATGTAGAAAACAATTAAATAAGCCCATAATGACAGAAAAAACATGTAGGGTTTTCTCCTGATTCATCAATATTTTTTTTCACTTAGACTTGTCTACTGTCTTTTATTATTTTTTTATCTGGACTCCAAACTGTCGTCGATTTGCCTCCACACCGTCTATCTATCAGAGTCTATTTCTGACTTTTGTTTTCCCTTTTGTGGTTTTGGTTATACATCACTTTCACCCCCCACCCCCATCCACCCCGATCCTGTTATTTGGTATCCGTTCTAGATGTCCAAACCAGGATTCTATACAAATCACCTATCTCTTGGTTGGATCCATCTGTTCTCACAAAAAGCCCGCCCATATTTTTCAAAGTACCGTGTTTACACTTGCGACATTAACTTGCTGCGATTTTGTGTTCTCTAGACATGTTTGGTGTAGACATGTGTAGTATACATGTCGCAAAATTGTACAATTGTTAGGATTTCCTGTTCAGGAGCGGAAATATATTAGAGTTTAATGTTATACTCCTATATATGTGCCCGCAACGTGAAAAATGCAGATATTTTCATTGGCGTTTTTAGGCGAAGAAATCACTATCATAACGTAATATGTATTCCATAATTTGAATACGAAAATATTTTTCTAGAAAAAGTATCAAATATTGATATTAGTGAGGTTTGTAGAACAAAATATGCAATAATGAAATGTGTTATTGTTCTTTTTTTTTTATAATGGAATATACTTTTGAAAAGTAAAACACAATGGACCCTAAATAAAACCGTGATCTTAACTTTAACCCTAAACTAAACGTAAATTAATATTAGGGTTTGAATCAGTGTTAACGTCTGAGAGGCGATACTAGTCTACACATTACATACTTTTTCGTTACATTCTAAAAATAAACTGCAGCATACACTTTATATATATATATATATATATATATATATATATATATATATATATATATATATATATATATATATATATATATATATATATATATATAATTCTCTTATTGGAGACGTTAGAAAACACCAAGCTGTAAGCGCGCCTTGAAGTCCCCTCTCTTCCTCTAGGCATATCGCAACCACCCCCACCCACACATGGTCTGGTGAGCTGTGGTTCACGCTAAATGTTTATAATCGTAGAGCCGGGTTTAGTGACGCCTATTAGGGGCAGATAATTTAGTTTGAAACTATTTTAAACTTAGGGGAGGTAACTAAGAGGAGGCTGCTTTCACGGGGGGGGGGGGGGGGTGGGAATGGAGGGTTTAGTGCTTTAAAGCAAATATTTTCAGTGACAGCATTGGTACTGTCGAATTCACAAATTATGAATTACTGAAAAGTAGAAAATAAAACTAAATAGCGGCGTGCGATACGCCGCGGGTGGGCTCGTTATACATAATACACACATACACACACATATATGTATACACAAAGCACACACAAGAAGCCTATTTTTTTTAAACAAACATAATTCATATTAAACTGTTCAATTAAGTGTAATCAAACATAAGCAAGCGTAAACAATCCTCAATCATCTTTAAACATCCAATGTAAATTCTTTATTTAGCATAGCACTTAGAATTAATTAAGGTAAGACCGAAATTTCTACTGGTATGAGCATATACGTTTTCAGGAATTACTTCCCTTTCCACGCTATTGATCCACTAGAAATGTGTATAACAACGCATATATATATATTTTTAATGTGAATATTTTTTTTTAAAGTTCATTTTATTGAATGTTCCAGTGTCCACAAGTGTATAACAACGCATGTATATATTTTTTAATGTGAATACTTTGTTGTTTTTTTTTTAAAAGTTCATTTCATTGAATGTTCCAGTGTCCACAAGTGTATAACAACGCATATATATATATTTTAATGTGAATACTTTTTTTTTTTTAAAGTTCATTTTATTGAATGTTCCAGTGTCCACAAGTGTATAACAACGCATATATATATATTATATATATATATATATATATATATATATATATATATATATATATATATATATATATATATTAATATGAATATTTTTTTTTAAAAGTTCATTTTATTGAATGTTCCAGTGTCCACATTTTGGGAACCCCTCTGGTGCACGTGCCCACTCCTCGGGCTGACCCACTTTGAGCAACAAGGCCATCCCCTCGACCACGTGAAACTCGAAGTGACAATGTAGCATCCACACACCTGAAAGGTAATGACTAATTGGCAATTAGCGATTCAATGTATTACCGAAATTAATTAGGTGTAAAATTGAGAGGTTACAGAAGTTAACGTATGGGGATATAGGATGTTGCACAACAAAACATACAGGTCAACATGAAATAGTCTTTTTCTGCTTCTGCCCTCTCTCCCTCTCTCTCTCTCTCTCTCTCTCTCTCTGTCTATTTATCTCTCTCTCTCTCTCTCTCTCTCTCTCTCTCTCTCTCTCTCTTCAATTTTACTCTCACGGATTCTCAATCAAATATTTCTAAACATGAGCGCCTGCAATCTGTATCCTAGAGTTGTTTGCACAGTTTCTTCCAGGCATCTCTTCAGAGGGGGGGGGGAGGCAGAGCCCCTCCGAACAAAGTCTACCGCCCGCCAGGAGTGAATTGGAATTTCTATAGAAAATATATACTTTTACCAGTGTCCACCCCCACCCCCTCGGAAAATTTAGTCCGCCCCCACCCCCCCCCCCGGGTAAATATCAAGTACCTCACCCCACACCGAAGAAAAAAAATCTGAAGGAAACACTGGTTGCTTGTATTTGTTGAGGTGACCACAACATATAAAGACATGTTTACATAGTTTCTCACTGTTTACAAAGGGACACAAATCTTTTATATATTTTCTACCGTTAACTCCATCCCATCCCCTAGATTTGCACATACTGTGTCGAACAGCTTATGTCGAAATTGTTGACAATTTTGTAACTACTATAAAGTCTTGTTTCAAATGTATGAAATTATCATTACTTAAATTTAAACATTGAAATATGTTTATTTTAAAAACTGAAATATTTTTTTTAAAAAAGGTAGATATTTTCAGATCTGCATTGACTTTTTACTTTCTATTGGTTGGTTGCGACACTGAGTGCATGAAAATTCTTTTGAAAAAAAATCTTTTTAAGTTTATGACAAGTGATAAAATTATATTTACATTTGTAAAAATTAAAACCGTTTATGAACCATCGGATACACTAATTTTTATATTTATATCAGCCGTTGAAATTGTCGTTTAGAATTATTTTATTAATTCAAATATTTTCAAAAACTGCCCTCAACCTCTCCTTGAAGTCAACCAGAATGGCCAGGTAGTGTAAAACAACAAAAGTCAGAACAATTGTTCTCCATGATGAAAATACACAATATTACTCTTTGGTGTTTAGCATAGTATTGTATTTATATGAAATAAAATATAACAACCCCAATCACCACAACACCCTGACTCTACTCAACCAAATAAAAAATAAAAGTGTTTGCTAAATTACTATTACATCAGAGGCGTAGCGAGGGGGGGGGGCGGACCGCACCGGGTGACACCATTTAGGGGGGTGACACCAATGCAAAAAATAGCAAAATATATAGAGAAAAATTTAAGGGGGGGGGTGTGCAAATCGGAAGTTCGAGGACGGGGGGGGGGTGCAATTCTAAAATTGAAAGATGGTCCCCGGGAAGGGTCGCTACGCCTCTGGGGGGTGACACCATTAAGTGCCGCACCGGGTAACACCCGACCTCGCTACGCCACTGTATTACATTACTATTAATTATTTCTTTAACTTGTTCTAGCTTAATGCAAGCGGAAGTAATTTTGTACTTCTTACACAAATGTTACAAAATTTTGGTTGAAAAATATACTTTCTGGCAACAAAGATTTGGAATCAGCTTTTCAATGCTATTTGGGCGGAGGTGGGTTAAAGAAATATTTTAAATCGCAATATAACGTTATATGCGGCGTGGCAGTTTAGTTAAACATGTCATGTTCACACAGTATGCACGTTCTCAAGCTGAACAGTAAAAAAAAAACCATTTATTTACCTGGGTTATCTGCCTTGAATCTAACAATTGTATAGCCGCTCGGAGGAACGATAACTGTGTCTTTTAAAGGAGCGAATTTAGTTCTTCTTGTTATCTCCCCTGCATTGTCCATTGCCTCCACGTCGTACACTGTGGCGTTGCTATTTATCTTGTTTTTTAGAGAAAACAATTATTTTAGAAGCGCAGTCTAGTCACAATCGAGGATCAACGTCAAAACCGGATTTTTGTGTGTTCAAAAATAGATGTCTATATCTTAACCGTAAACTTGGTCGTGCTTGTATCTATATCTTAACCGTAAACTTGGTCGTGCTTGTATCTATATCTTAACCGTAAACTTGGTCGTGCTTGTATCTATATCTTAACCGTAAACTTGGTCGTGCTTGTATCTAAATCTTAACCGTAAACTTGGTCGTGTTTGTATCTATATCTTAACCGTAAACTTGGTCGTGCTTGTATCTAAATCTTAACCGTAAACTTGGTCGTGCTTGTATCTATATCTTAACCGTAAACTTGGTCGTGCTTGTATCTATATCTTAACCGTAAACTTGGTCGTGCTTGTATCTATATCTTAACCGTAAACTTGGTCGTGCTTGTATCTATATCTTAACCGTAAACTTGGTCGTGCTTGTATCTATATCTTAACCGTAAACTTGGGCGTGCTTGTATCTATATCTTAACCGTAAACTTGGTCGTGCTTGTATCTATATCTTAACCGTAAACTTGGTCGTGCTTGTATCTATATCTTAACCGTAAACTTGGTCGTGCTTGTATCTATATCTTAACCGTAAACTTGGTCGTGCATGTATCTATATCTTAACCGTAAACTTGGTCGTGCTTGTATCTATATCTTAACCGTAAACTTGGTCGTGCTTGTATCTATATCTTAACCGTAAACTTGGTCGTGCTTGTATCTATATCTTAACCGTAAACTTGGTCGTGCTTGTATCTATATCTTAACCGTAAACTTGGTCGTGCTTGTATCTATATCTTAACCGTAAACTTGGTCGTGCTTGTATCTATATCTTAACCGTAAAATTGGTCGTGCTTGTATCTATATCTTAACCGTAAACTTGGTCGTGCTTGTATCTATATCTTAACCGTAAACTTGGTCGTGCTTGTATCTATATCTTAACCGTAAACTTGGTCGTGCTTGTATCTATATCTTAACCGTAAACTTGGTCGTGCTTGTATCTATATCTTAACCGTAAACTTGGTCGTGCTTCTAACCCCAACGCTGAACCTGAATCCTATCACTAACACTAAACCTAAAACTAACAACATGTCTAAACCTGACCTTACCATAGCCCTAAACCATAAACTGGTAAAACAGTGTACCTTCAAGGCGGCTACCAAATGCGTGCTCAGATGTGTCACTACTGGTAAACAATGTAACCCCCCCCCCCCCCCCCCCAGAGGCGTATCTAGGTTTTCGTTGTAGGGGGAGCGAAAAGAGCAAAAAAAGGCGCCGAATCTTTAACACGTTCTATATACGTGTATTATATATATATATATATATATATATATATATATATATATATATATATATATATATATATATATATATATGTATGTATGTATAATTACTAGCTGTAAGTCATTACTTCGCTATGATGTAAAATAAATTGAAAGTAGCACTCTGAAGAAAGAAGAAAAAACACAATGTAGGCCGACAAAACAAAAATTGTATCAATCTAAACAAAAAAAAATATACACACACTACAACCAAAAATAATGAACGTAACACAATCTGTTTTGTGATTCTTGTTTAAAAAATTCGTACATAACAATTCCTGGGAAATTATTTAAGACAAGTGAAATAGGGGAAATAATCACTCTCTTAATATAAATATGTATATATCTACACATTTAATTATAAATGCCATAACAAAGAAATAATTTCTAAAGAATAAAATAAAATTGTTTAACACCATTCGTGCTTACAAAATGTTTTTGTCTATAATCAGACTTTAATATATCGTCATCATAAATGCTAAAGTATTACAGCATAATGAAAGTTTTTAAAATCAGAGTTAATATAAAAGCACGCTTTTCGATATAATTGTAAACATTCGGAACAACAGCCTACTTTTAACTAAATAATGCTCTTTTAGTTCAGATCATATATTTTTAACTAACTACTGCTTCTTTGTGTTCTTTAAAGATCATTTTTAACATAGTGATAGGTATGGGTTAGATCACTGTATTGATCACACACCTTTTCACTGGTAATTGCAAAAACAATATTCACAAGAGTTTTATGTTTAAAAAGCTAATTTTCTGGCGGCATGGTACTTTGGTACATCATTACGTGTTTTTCTACATGTACTTAACAGATCAGTTCGGGGGGGGGGGGGGGGGGTTCAACTTCATTCACCACTGTCCGGTCACTTTAGGTCAATTATCCAACTCAGTGTATACCTAGATGTGACATTAATGTCGCTTTACACAACTGTGGTGGTGAGGTGTGTGTGGGGAGGGGGGGAGATAACCAACTCAGAGTGAACATAGCTTCAGTTTTTAGAGGACTGTTCAAAAAATACATATATATTACACACATTTATATTACACAAATATATATTACAGAAATAGATTTAAATAAGTAGCAGTGGTATTATGACAATATTTTTTTACAGTGGGGTCCATGGGGGAGGGGGGGTGTAACTCTTTCATATAATTTGTAATCGTAATCAATATCGCCCAAACTGTAAGAATACTAATACTTCATCGTGATGACGTTGTTAGCCTTGTCAAAATTTCCGCACCACTACTCAGTTTGCTCATAAGTAAATTTAAATAGAGGTGCCACATCAGTTGTATTTATTTCTGTATTGTAATTTTTTTAAAATTAATCACACGATTCAAACTGTATATATAAATCAATTATGTGTTAAGTTTCAAGTATATAGGGGACGGAGTGGTCTAGCGGTAGAGAGCTGGACTGCTAACCCGTAAGTCTCGAGCTCTAATCCGGGTTCAAGTCAGCAAACCGTCCCTGAGTCCACCCAACTGATGGGTACCTAACTCACGTTAGGAAAAGTAAAGGCGGCTGGGCATAGTGCTGACCACACTATCTCTTCATATTCCGAGGTCACAGAAACAAGTGAACTCTACTTCACTTGCCCCGTAGACCGTCAGGTTTGACAGGGAAACTTTTATGTATAACATTTTCTAATTCAATTATTCGTAAGCAAAATACATTATACAGTTGGTTTAAACTTTACACCCCTCTTGCCAGGTGGTACTACCCGTAGAGGTTTTTTAAACATTGCAATGCATCGTAATGGTTTTGTTTTTAGAATGGCAAACTGATGCAGCTGTTACTACGTGTTGTAAACATAGACACTACTAGACTTGTACAATAATGCTTAATTGCTGCATGAATAGAAATCTTGTGATTTACATAGATGTGCCGACCAAAAATATTTTTTACAAATATTATTGTTTAAAACTTTTAAAAAGTTTCCAAAAAGGCGCCACTTTGCTGAAAATGGCCAGAGGGGGGAGCGGCTGCTCCCCTGCTCCCCCACTGCGTACGCTACTGCCCCCCCCCCCCCATCCAGCAGTAGGCTGTCAAAACAGGTGTGTGTCAATAAGGTCTTGTATTCACACTACTGGTAAAAAATGTAACCCCCCCCCCCCAGTAGGCTGTCAAAACAGGTGTGTCATTAACGTCTTGTATCCACACTACTGGTAAACAATGTAACCCCCCCCCCCAAGCAGTAGGCTGTCAAAACAGGTGTGTCATTAAGGTCTTGTATTCACACTACTGGTAAACAATGTAACCCCCCCCCCCAGTAGGCTGTCAAAACAGGTGTGTCATTAAGGTCTTGTATTCACACTACTGGTAAACAATGTAACCCCCCCCCCTCCAGCAGTAGGCTGTCAAAACAGGTGTGTCATTAACGTCTTGTATTCACACTACTTGTAAACAATGTAACCCCCCCCCCCAGTAGGCTGTCAAAACAGGTGTGTCATTAAGGTCTTGTATCCACACTACTGTGTAAACAATGTAACCTCCCCCCCGAGTAGACTGTCAAAAACAGGTGTGTCATTAAGGTCTTGTATTCACACTACTGGTAAACAATGTGGACCCCCCCCCCCCCCCCCCCAGTAGACTGTCAAAAACAGGTGTGTCATTAAGGTCTTGTATTCACACTACTGGTAAACAATGTAACCCCCCCCCCCCCCAGTAGACTGTCAAAAACAGGTATGTCATTAAGGGTCTTGTATTCACACTACTGGTAAACAATGTAACCCCCCCCCCCCCAGTAGACTGTCAAAAACAGGTGTGTCTTAAAGGTACTCACACAACAGGTGGACAATGAACCCCCCCCCCCCAACCCCAGTAAGCTATCAAAACAGGTGGGGCATGAAGGTCTTGTACTCACCAACCCCATGGCGACGACCCGGAAAGAGTAGCCATGCAGGTGTACCGGATGCACGCCCGTCAGCTCCCCCATCCCCTCGTTGACGAATACCATCTCGACCAGCTGACCCGTGGCTACGCTGACCACGTGCACGCATGCGCACAGCTGGTGTGTGCAGTCTTGACCTTGAAGGGTCGTAGCATTGCAGAAGGTTGACTGATAGATAAAAAAAAACTTTGAAAGATTACAACATATCCAACACAGCTAAAAATTGTTTACTGTGGATGTTTTTATAACTGACGGGACCAAAGTAATATTGTTTATGAAATCAAAACTTACCTCGTCTATATCATTCCACTGCGTCAAAGGCGGAGACGAGGGTAGGCTGAACTGGATTTTGTTTAGCTGTCGATTCTGTGAAGCTATAGGCATATCAACCTGGGAACGTTCTGTTGAGGGGGGCGGGGTGGGGGGGTAATAACCGTTGATTAATCAAATTGAACGAGCTAAATTAAATTACGACGCAGTGGTGCACAGTGGCGTGAGTAGGTCGGGTATCACCCGGTGTGTTAACTGAGGGTACCACCCCACCCCGCATCAACACTTTTTGAAATGTCGGTTTG